ACAGGCATGCACCACCATGCCCGGCTAATTTTTTCTATGTATTTTTAGTTGTTCGATTAATTTCTTTCTATTTTTAATAGAGACGGGGTCTCACTCTTGCTCAGGCTGGTTTCGAACTCCTGAGCTCAAACAATCCGCCCACCTCGGCCTCCCAGGGTGTTAGGATTACAGGCGTGAGCCACCACGCCCGGCCCAATTTTTCCTATTTTTAGTAGAGACGGGGGTCTCGCTTTTGCTAAGGCTAGTTTCGAACTCCTGACCTCAAGCAATCCTCCTGCCTCAGCTTCCCAGAGTGCTGGGATTACAGCGTGAGCCACCATGCCCAGCCCTGCCCCTGTGTCTTGATGCTCACTGCCTCTGTGCTACTGTGGCACCTGACCTCTGCACTGGGCTGTTGCTGTGGTCCTCTCACTGCCTCTGTCTTCCCTGCCACTCATCTGACCTCTTCTCCAGGCTTCCCTCCAAGCTGCCATTGTAATTCTAAATAAAAATTTAACCACAGCATTCCCAAACCTCAAGGTCTTCAGCAGCCCCTCATCATACATGCCAAACATAATCCTACCACTGGCTCCCCATGGTAGGTATCAATAAATATTGGTTAAATGAGTAAAAACTTTGCCTAGTGGAGCCAATTTCCATTTTAGAACTAATGTTCACCTTAACCTTAGCACTTCAGAGATCTTCAGTTATAGTTATATTATTTCCCACATATTTCCAGAGAAAATTGGATTGATAAACTTTCTTCACTTTCTTATGTTTAAACAGATGCAGATATCATTGTGGAGAGGAAGAAAAGAGGGAGCCCTGCTGTAACACTTGTCATTAGAAAACCTGAAGCAATATCTGTGGATATAATCCTGGCTTTGGAATCAAAAAGTAGCTGGCCTGCTAGCACCCAAGAAGGCATGCCCATCAATAACTGGCTTGGAGCAAAAGTTAAGACCAAACTAAGACGACAGCCATTTTACCTCGTACCCAAGCATGCAAAGGAAGGAAATTGTTTTCAAGGTATTTTGAATGTTATGGTTAACTCAAAGACATAAAAGAGTTGTTAGTGTTATATGCTAGGGCAGTATAAGAACAACAGCTAACTAATGCTGCTGGTATTTCAAGAACCATCAGGCTAAACAGGCCACAAGATGGGAGTTTGGTGAGAGATGGAATTGGAAAGGCATAGTTGCACTATTAATATTAAATACTCAACTTTAAAATGTCTAGTAACCTGCATTTGAATTTTATCTTTTTTTTTTTTTTAATAAAGAGAGGCAGTATTGGCTTTGGAGTCAGACTGCTCTGGTTCTGATTCCTGAGACTTCTTCTCTTACTGTGTGATCTTGGGCTAGTTATGAAGCCTTCTAAACTTGTTTTCTCATCTGTACACTGAGTTAATCAAAGCTACTTGAAAGATTCTGGGAAGATTAATAAGTCAGTGCATGTGAAGTCCCCGGTTCCGTTCATGGCGGTCATACATTATTACATATTAACATTATCATCAGAGCCTAGACTCTTACTCTCAGTCCTGTTTCTCTTTTTCCTCCATCTTCCCATCCCACTGCTCCCATGCAGCTAGCAGATCTTTCCAGCCTCAGCTGTAGTTGGGTACAGTGGTTGAGTCTGCCTTTTCACCTGTGTGTCTCAGCCTCACAGATCGGGATGGGTTTTCAGGCTGTGCTCATAAGTAACACTCAAGTTCTAAGAACCAGACTGAGGTGGTCCACAGCTAAAACTGAATAATGGTGATTTTTTTTTTTCAGCTGGCAGAAAGAAAGTAGCCGATTATTTTCATTTTCTCTCATAAATTTACATAGGACTTTTGGCACCTACCACTGCTGAAATCCAGGGAAATTGAAAGAGACCACAAAACAAATGAACCAAGTTATACATGAGTGTTGCTGGAAAAAAGCCCCAAAATAGTCGATCTTACTTAGTTTGGTGGTTTGCATTTTTGCAGACACACATCATAACTTTTTGTATTGCATACATATAGAAGTCATTTTCTGCAAGAAAAAATTATTTGTAAAGGGGAAGTACATAAATCATTATTCATGGTTTTGCGAAAGGAACATAGCTTTCTGCAAAGAGGGGCTGCACCCCTGAGCAATTTTTAGAATGGTTGTCCCAAGAAACCCTCCTTGATGTGATAGGAGAATCTCAGCAGGGTCCCATACCATCCCCTTGCTGGCTCCCTATCACCCTGGGGAAGATTGGAAGACAAATCAGCTTAGGAATGAGGCAGAGTCCTTCAGTGGCCCTGTGGGCTCTGTGGTTGGGTAGGTCCTCACATCTTTGCATTAAGATGAAAGTAAGTGAAGGCTCGTAATGGGTACGCAACTTCACCTCTGCTCTCTTTTACCTTTGGCTGTTCTCAGATCTCCCATCATTCCAAATTATCTATATTCAGGCAAAACCCTGCCTCTCTGGGTGTGTGCATGCATGCGTGTGTATTTGAGTGACTGAACAGAGGGACTTATTAACAGTGAAATGCTTGTACCAGATTGGAGGCATTTTTAACACCTGCTTTAGCTTTTCTCTTTCCAAACATTTCACAAGGAATTCCCTGGTCTTTGTCGGGC